TTATTATTTTGCACAGATGCAATCATTAGTCTGGCTGGGCACTCACATGTCCTGACCAGACCTGGATGGCATAAACAAAACAGTGACAATGTTCTGAGCAAGGGACTAAGAGAACAGAAATGGAAGAATACCCACTCTATCCCAGTGGCAAGAAGGATGGGACAATGAGGAATAATTTCTGGGAGAGGCAATGCCTAATCAGGTTTGGACACATGACAGATATTGTGGGGTGCCTAGATTTAAAGCCCAATCAGGTGGGTGACCTTGATTAGTTAACTAGACTAAGCTATATCTCAGGAAAAGAGTTATCCACATAGACCAGAACTATTTTATTTATTATTTTATTTATTTATTTTTAATTTGACCAGAGAAGGACAGAGTGAGGGGCGGGAGGAGTGAGAAAGCAAGCCACCAGGTCTGGAACGCAAACTGCAGTTGACCATGTAGGAGTCCAACACCCTTAACACCATGCCACCTGCAGCCTCATAGACCACAACTATTCATCATCTGGATTCCCTGCTTAAATGTTGTATGGTGGGACCAGCAGATGACATAATGGTTACACTGCTGGACTTGCTGGACTCCCAAGTATAGTTGACCACACTTCAAAGTCTCAGACCCAGTGGCTTAAAACGCACACTGGGTGCATGTGTACCCAAACTCCTAAGAGGAAAATGGAGGAGAAGGGATTGCAGTGTGGCCATACCCCCTGGGGGGTGATCTCTCGTTTTCTGTGTCTCTGTCTCTTTCTCTCTGGCAAGCGTACACACCTTACAGTGGAAATCTCTCTTAAAAACAAAACAAAACAAACAAAACCCAAAAAACTTTGTATGGCTTCCAAACCTCTTCCAAACCATGTAGCTGTATCACAGATCTACCCTGGAGTAGAGAAGTAGGTTGGCATCACCTGTGCCTCTTCGCCCCTTCAGTCTCTCTGATCCAACCATCCTGGCCTCTTTTCTGTGTCTGGAATTGCTATCTACCTCCAAAGCTCTGTATATACTATCCCACTCCTTGATGCTCCCTTCACTCTGGACTTTTCATCATTACTCTATTCTACTTCACACAACTAACTCCTACTCATGTCGATTTCAATCCAAACGAAACTTCCTCAGGCAGCCTGCCCTCACCTGCACCAGCGTAGGTCAGGACCCTTGTCATTTGCTTTCCAGTACCAGTAACATTCTCCTTTATCACTGTGAGGACACTGGAGTCCATTTTTTACACTTCTATACTTTAAAAGGGCAGAGATCATACTTGTGTCACACTGTGATAGTCCCAGAACCTAACATAATGCCTGGCACATAGTGGACACTCAGCAAATGTATAATAAGGAATGAATGAGGGCTCAGTCTCAGTCTATATGGTCTGGATAAGGGAACCACCACTCTTCCAACACCTACACACTTCCTGGGTCTAAGGCACCTGACCCAGGCTAGATCAATGAGTCATCTCTGTCATCTAAGAATTTTGACAGAAGTACTGGGAAAGAGACACTGCATCTGCTGCAGAGAGTGTGCCTGAGAGTGAAACTAAATCAAAGGAAAGCAAAGGTGAGAGAAAATTTAGGGCTGCATGAGCACCTGGATATAGCCATTCCCCCCCTTTTTTTTTGAGAGGTTTTTGCTATAGGGTGTGTACGCTCACCAGAAAGACAGAGAGACAGCAAGAAATCACCCCCTGGGGGATGGTCACGCCGCAATCCCTTCTCCTCCATTCTCCTCTCCGAATCTTGGGCCTGCACGCACACACGCCTAGCATGAGTTTAAGCCACTGGGTCTGGGACTTGAACTGCGGTTGACTACATGGGAGTCCCACGACAGAGCCATTACACTAACTGCTGGTCCCCTGGATATAGCCATTCCTAAAGGCAGCAGCCCATAGACTATTCATTTACCAGTAAACTCTTTTTGTTCCTTAGGCTAATTCAAGTTGGGATTATGAGACATGTAACTAAGAGTCCTTATACAAAAATAGTAACTGGAATTAGACATGTAGTTGGTCCAAAAGAATAAGATAAAGACTATCGGCAAGCCTAATTGCTATGACCCATGCTACCGGCTTATGAAGTCCTTACAGTTCCTTATAGTATAAATGGGGTTGGTTCTGGAGCAGGGAAAAAAGATATGTGGGTTGAAGAGTAGAGTACAGGCATCCTTGCTGGTCATTATCCTAAAAACTGCCTTATTCATGGAAACTCACAGAAACTAGACCTCCCAAAAGGCTGGAAAGAGGCAAAGACCTTTTATAGACCTCTTTTATTTTCAAAGAAGTATATATAATCATTATAAATAAAAAGTTTGAAGATCATTCCAAACTGAATTCTATGCCAAATTAATAAAGTATTGGTTGGATAAGCACTTAAAAAAAAGTAGTCTCTAACAGCCAACAAAGGCTCTTTGACAACATGACACACCCAACATACTCCAGACTTTTCTATTTCAGTCAATTCATTTATTGAGAGTATTATTTAGGGGTACGGTGTATGTGGAGGCAGCTGACAAGTGAAATGAGGATTTTCCTGTTGATAAAAATGAAAAACCCAAGCTGCAGATGGTAAACGTGAAGGAAGGTATCCTTATGGTGGGCCACAGAGCTATGCCCTTGACCCTGTCTTAAATCAAGGCTTTGATCAGTAGCCTAGATGAATCTAGCATTGTTGATCTTAGCAAGGATAATATTCATCAGAGGAAACAGAATTCAAAAACTAATATGATAAGCAAAAATAGGATGAAATTTAACTAGAACGTATGGGAAATCACCACAAACAAAACAAAATAAAACAAAACAATTCCTGTTTTTTAAATACAAGATGGTAGCAGTTAAGTTATGCTAGCAAATATCATAGTGTAATGCAGCTATTGTCAGAAAAGTCATAATGCATTTTTGCATAGAAAAAATATGTCATGACTTTTCCAACAAACCAATACTAAACGTAGGCTGAATTAAGAAACACAAAATCTGCCTCAGTTGAACAATGGGATGACCATGTTCCAATCTAAGCATCACGGAGAGAAGACAATGACTGACAAAAGTGCATCCAGAGAGGGAAACCAACAACAGGAGAAGTTTTAGACATTGTGTCACACAAATGACAGTTGAAAGAATGAGTATAACTGGTATAGCTGCTTTGCAGAGCAAAGATACAATCTTGTAAAACTGAAAACCACCATACCCCATGACCCAGCAGTTCTACTTCTAGATACGTATATTGGAGAAACTCTCATAGATTTTCACAATGACCAAGACAGAATTGTTTATTCTTTTTTTTTTTTTATTGGCAGATGGCATGTACACTCATGAGAGAGAGAGAGAAAGCATCCCCTCCAATGGGGCATGGCTACACCATAATGCTTTTTCTTCTATTTCTCTATTCTGTTAGCATGCACACACATCCATTTTTTTTTTTTTGAGTTGTTAGGGGTTAGATTCCAACCATGGTCAGTCATGTGGGATCTGGTTCCCAATGCATGGTGCTTAACCAATGTACTATGTGGCTGGCCCAAGACAGAACTGTTTACAAAAACAAAATTTGGAACATACATAGGCTTCCATCACTAAGAGGAAGGTAGGCAGTGGTATAATGAGATTTTTGCTATAGGGTGCATGTGCTCATCAAAGATACAGAGAGAGACAGAGTGGCAGAGAGACAGAGAGAGAAATCACCGCCTAGGAGATATGGTTATGCCACAATCCCTTCTCCTCCATTCTCCTCTTGGGATTTTGGGTACACCCGCACATGCGTCCAGCATGAATTTTAAGCCACCAGGTCTGGGACTCAAACCACAGCTGACTATGTGGGAGTCCAGTGACATAACCATTACGCTATATGCTGGTCCCAAGAAACCTTTTAAATAGGAAAACGGCTAGACAGAATAAAGTTCATTCAGACTTTGGGATACCCTGCAACAGTTAAAAACAATGAAATAGCTGAGTATGGTAGTACACACTTACAGCCCCAGCTACAGGAGGGTGAGATAAAGAGGATCATGAGTTCAAGGCTATCCTGGGTAACATAAGAAAACTCTATCTTTTAAAACAGAAACAGGGCTGGCCCCATAGTACAGTGGTTAAGTGGTTAAACACAGTGCAATGCATCAGGAGCCAGATCCCACATGCCTGACTATGGTTTGTGTCTGGGCCCAGGTAGCTTGACAGACAGATCAGGCACATGTGCCCATGTGCCTCGAATCCTGATGGAATAGAGAAATGGAGAAAAGGGAATTGTGGAGTGACCAGGCCTCACTGGTGGTGGTGGTGGGGGGGATGCTTTCTCCTCTTCCCCTGTCATATGAGCATGTGTGCTCTCTGGTAACTAAAGAAAAAAAAAAAAACAAAAACAGAGAAAGCAAAAAAAAAAAAAAAAACCCATAAAATAAATGAAATATGTTTTTATATCAATCAGGATAGGTTAAATTTTACCAAGGTAATGAAAGGAAACTCAAACCTGAGTGGCCTAATTACAACCAAAGTCTATTTATTCCTTATCCTATGTGTTTAAAGTGAGTTGGCAGAAGGGCTTATTATAGTTTTTCTCAAATCAAGTTGTCAAAGGCTGTCTTTCTGACAGGGAAATGGAATATGGCAAATCTTACCTTGCTTTTAAAAATTTCCATTTGAAAAAAAAAAAACAACTTCCACTTGGAAGTACATTCATTAATTCTGCTGACATTTCATTCCCCAAATCAAGTCACATGGCCTCAACCTAACATCAAAAGGGACAGGAACCACAATCCTATCATATGTCTAGTGGCAGACAGTCAAAAATAACATTATATGGGCCCAGCAGGTGGCATGGTAGTTAAGGCAGCTGGACTCCCACATGGCTAACCATGGTTCCAGTCCTGGACCTGGCAGCTTGCTTTCTCACTTTCCTTCTCTCTGTCTCTGTCTGATCAACTTCAAAAAAAATAATGATAATGA